AAAAACTGTTCTTTCTAGAAAATCTAAGTCTACCTTGACATGTTTAATGCGGGTGTTTCCCTTGAGAATAAGCGTAACTGGCATAATTTACTTCATTTGTAATCGCTTACTACTCCAAAACAGTTAATCGCTGATTAAAAAATTCATATTGATCAGGAATATGGAGGAGGCGGCACCGCAGAGCTACTCGAGTAGTGAATCTCGCAAGGTTATGCAGTTCTATGGAGCGTTTGCAGCAGAGAAAGATGGTCCTGTCTCTATTCCCATTAAAGGTAAACCTGGAAGTTTTAAATTTTTTATTCCAACTTAATATTACGTCTTTCTCTTCGGTTTTTCCAAGGTTTTTAGTTCAAATTAATTTTCTTTGCTTTTCTTAAAAAGCTCGGTTTTTCAGCAATTTTTTTTGATTACATAAGAGAGTACAAAATAAATTTCTTAAGATAACTCATTATGTAGTACCTTATTTCTAGCTTGCATATGCAAACTGAGGCTATAACTTTGAATTCTTCTAGTTTTAGAGTTGCTAAAAATATTCGAACAGATGGAGCGTATGCGGTTGTCTTGGAAAGCTGCCGAGGAAAAATCAGCATATTTTGAAGAACAGTACACAAAATCATCAACTGAGCTTGAGTAAGCATGCTTTCTTCACTGGGACTTTTGGATTAGAGTCCATTTTTTATCATTGCAGTACTACTATAACAGAGCTACGGCGGTGTAAAGCCGAATTGAAGGATGCACGTGCACAAATAAGGGCTCAGATAGCTGAAATTAACGCTCAACGAGCAGATGCTGAAGAAATGAGTCAGCGTTTGAAGCTTGTCAGCGAGTATCTTAAAGTAAGCTAACTTGCTAAATTCTGGTTGTTTAGAAATTATTTTCAATTTGAAGTCAGCTTATCTCGAATTTCGTAATTCGTAGTCTATTCGCTTACATTACAGTCAGATCTTGAACGCCTTCCAGCAGAGAAGAGTAAACAGCTTGATTTCTTAAGAAATCCGGAGTTGATAAGAACACATTCGAAGCGTGTTCTTCGAGAGCACTACATGGAGGTTTGCAATTCTAAACTGGTCACATTTTTAGCCGCTGTGGGCATTATCACTTTGTTTTGCTAATGCAAGTTCATTTTAAGGAGGGTGATACAGAAGAAACGAGTATGGACTATGATGTTACTGGTGATACCCTAGATACCCTAGATGAGCTCGAGGAAGAGCACGAAAGGTAGCGTTCAGCTGCTCACACATGTGCTTCCATTTCATCTGAGAAATCTTATACATTCGTTATAGTGTGAACATAGAAGTTAAGTCACAAACAAAGCAAAGAAGGTTTGTTCGGTGGGCGTAGTTTTTTGAGTACAGTCTCTTTTGGTTCTTTTCAAGCTTTCCTTGGCCATGGAAAGAGTGAAGCCTCTTTTTTATTTTACTAATCTAAATCAATGTTTCCTTCTTTAAATAAAAACTTTGAAAGAAATTTCGATGTATAAGCG